CTCTATTCGCAAAATTTTTTGCTGTCCTTGCTGGCTTGCCCTCTCCCCCCATAAATCAAAGAGGGAAAACTGAGGGGATTAGGACAGCAAGTGGTTAATTGTGACTCCATCTTGTGACTCAGTTTTAGAGCTAGCTCAGTTCCCTTTCTATTCAATCATGGGTCTAGTCCAACTTCTGCCTTTTGAGAAAACTTTATTCAGTTGTGGAAATTGGGAGAAAACTTTATTGCCTTGCTTGAACCTAATCCTGCATGGCTTGGAAACTGGACCACCTCTCCCTGCTGTTTAGACACCCTTAAACAAGTACCTAGGTAATACTGACCAGAAACCCATTGAGATCCATATATTGATGAAAGGAGTTTTCTCATAATTGTACATCTCAAGCAATTCATATGTCTTATTTGAAGACTGGCTCCATTCTGATTAATCAGTTATTGTTTTCCATATTCCCTTGATTGTTTACAGACACTTTGGGGAGTTGAACACCTCTCTGATTTCAGGGAATTGCATTGGTTCACTCTCTACCTCCCAACTTGGAAAGTCCCTAATCTTTCATCCAATTAGAAATCAGATTTCCTAATGTTATAGTTTCCTTTTAATTAATTAGTCTTATTTGATTAATTGTTTTTAATGTATAAAAATCTGTCTCCCCCTGTGTTTGGGATCCAGCCCTAAACTGAGGAAGGGTTCTGGTCCCAATTTGTTAGGCAATTGGCATATATTGATTAATAAAATTGATAACACTCTAAAGATTGAAACTTTGTTTTCCTCAGTCATTTCATCTTCCACACGCCACACATGGTACCAAAATTAATTTTCAGATTTCATGCTATCCCAATAAATCTATCAAGGGGTTACTTTATAAAACCAGAAAATCTTTACGAGTTTATGCATGCAACAAGGATTTTCTTGGCATAAACATGAGAAGGGAACTGATAGGCTTATATAGGTGTTATGTTTTTTAATAGATCGCATTTTTACGATCACGTAACTGAGAAGTGTTGAGAATGTAGCACCGTGCTGTTTTTATCATTTCCTGAGTTCAATAAAGATTTTTATTTGGAGCAAAATATAGCCTAAGGCTCTCCAAAAAAAAGTGTTTCTCATATATGTTAAGATTATACATAGTGGTGTGCTGGTAAATATTTAACAACTGTCTGGGGGGGGGAATGTGTAACACAACTTTTAAGTTTAACATGCATTATTAACATTTTCTCCATCACTTTTAAGTGTAGACAATCAACAAAACAATACTATAGGGTTAACTTTGACCCACTGAGTACAGCCATTATTTGAAGTGTTAAGTAGGGAAAGATATCTTTGTGAAAAGTATTTACTGGTCTCATGGGAGATGCTTTGGTCCAAAGAAAATTGATTTCCTATTGGTGAGGTTCCATATTCTTCTAAATGAAAGTGGCATCATACTAATTTTGTCAGGCCCTAGAACACTACAAAAACCCCTTACTGAAAATCTGCAAGAATTCTGAAGAGATAAGTCTAACCACCAGTACTAGAAAAATAGGGAAAAATTAACTGCCCAGCTTTAGGACATGCACCTGGATAGGCAGCTCATTAAATTAATCCATCAGTACATTTAATTAGCACCACAGGTAAATAATGACCCTGATCCTTGATTTGAGTAGGAGAAAGAAATCAAAATTGATTGCATTTGGGAAACTGTGCAGTCCTTTCAATGATCCCAAACTGTTGACCATTGCAAAAGCCTGTCTCTTTATCACCAAAATTCTATCAGTCATGCTTTATTCTTATGGATCATAGAAAGCGTGATCTCAGGAATTAAAATGACAGAAATCCTCAGGGCAATAGAATACACTTGATGACCACAGAGAAACACCCTAGTTCAAAGCTTCAGTACCTTTGACTTAAACTATTGCAATAGCATCCTAATTAGTCTTGCTCAATCTCTCTGGTCTCCAGTATATTCTTAATACATCAGCCAAAGTGATATGAAAGCCTGATCAAGGCACAGGCCTCCTTAAAAAGTTCCAGAGGCTCTCTCTATTCCCTATAGGATAAAATCCACAATTCTGTGTTATTCAGAGTCCTTCGCAACCTAGCTGTAGCCTATCTTTCCAGGCTTACTGCACCATACTTAACATGCATTCCAGGTAAACTGTTCTAAGTACAGGACATTGTATTGCCCTCTTGTGTTTCTGTATGGCGAGCAGAGAGGAGAGGAATTATGCCCAGGTACCCAGTGCCTGAAATGTGTTTCCCCCTTAGCTCCACCTCCTAGAATCCCTGTCTTCCTTTGAGACTCAGCTCAAGTGCTTCTTGCCTTACCTGCTGAGATAGCTAGGTGACAGTGGATTAGAGGGATAAACTTGGACTCAAGAAAACCTGAATCCAACTCAAGCCTCAGACATTTAGCAGTTGTGTGACTCTGGGCAAGTCACTTAACCACTGCCTGCCTCAGGAAAATGGGGATACTAATAGAACCCATCTCCCAGGTTTCTTGTGAAGATCAAATGAGATACTATTTGTAAAGTGCTTTGCAAATCTTAAACCACAAGTAAAAAAAAAAAGATTGTTGTTCAGTTGTGTTCTACTCTGTGACCCCATTTGGGATTTTCTTGGCAAAAATACTGGAGTGGTTTGCCATTTTCTTTTCCAGCTCATTTTACTAATGAGGAAACTGAGGCAAACAAGGTTAAACTAGTGTCTGAAGCCAGATGAAATAAAAAAATGTCTTCCTAACTCTAGGCCCAACACTCAATCACTGCGAGACCTATTAGATTATGATTATCAGTCTCCTTCCCCATCAAAATTACCTTGTTTTTACTTTGTGTATTTATTTATTTATTCATCCATTCATTTATTTATATGTGCACGTTGTTTCTCCCTGACTGTGTGTAAACTCCTTGAAGTCAGAGACATTTCATTTTGTCTTTCTATCCCCAATATCTAGTACAATGCCTAGCACATAGTACATACTTAATAAATGTTGATTAATTAATGTGGAGGTTGATGCAGAGGGAAGAGTCAAGGATAACTCTAAAGTTGCCAACCTAGAGGTTGGAAAGTAGGGATGCCAACAGTAGGGAAGGTGAATGCATGCAGATGCACATGTGGCAGTGGGGGGTGGAGGTGGTTACAGATGGCTAAAGGGAAGCTACACATGCTCATTCCACCTGGCTTTGCAAACCGCTAGGTCTCCAGCGTCTTTAGCACCCTCGTCAGCTTCGTAGCGCTGGAGGAGAGCTCGGAGGAGCGAGCCCAGATGTGCCTTATTACTCAGTTACTTCTGGGTGGAATCGTGATTATCTAAATTCTCCCACGAGCCACGGAAGAGGCTGCAGCTGGTAGGGCGGGGGGACCCAAAACCCAGCATCCGAATAGTCCTACGCCAGTTAATAAACTCGGGGCTCCCGAGAAGCCCCCCGGTCCCCATCTTTGTGCGGCCAGAGCGCAGCCCCACGTCGGCCTGCCCCTCCGCCGCCATCTTTGTGCGGGGCAGCGCTTCCGCCCGGGCTACTGGAGCGGGTGCGGGGCTTTCCCCGATGGCTCCGCGGCCGCCGTCGTGGTTGCTGCTGTGGCTGCTGCTGCTGCTGCCGGCGACTCAGCCCAGCCAGGACTCAGGTGAGCGGCTCGGAGGAGGTCTGTGCTCGCCTCTTAGGAGCTACGGCTGCCTCGCCGGGATCGGGATGAGGAGGGAGGGTCCCGGCTGTTTCCCGCCTCCATCTCTCTCTGGACCGGGGCTGGAGCTGGGGCCGGAGGCTGAGGGGACTGTGGGCAGGGAGCTGGGGCTGGGGCAGGGGTGGTGCAATCCCTGAGTCACAGATCGTTAGAGCTGCGAGGGGCCGTCTGAAGTCACCTGCTTTCCCCCTCTCTTTTGGAGTGGTCGGTGCCGCACGGACATGACAGGACTTGGTCCGTGGCACAACGAGCGGGCAGCAGAGCCGGAGCTGAGGCCGACCTCCTGCCAGTCCCTGGGTCAGCCTGCTTCCCCGAACACTTCGCTGGGGGGAGGGATAGAAGGAGTGTGACCAAAGGAGCCGGTGTGAAACGTGGCTCCGTGTGGGCTGAGGTAGTGCTTGTGAGCTGGAGGGCCCACGGAAAGGGTAACGAACTCCCCAGTGCCCAGGACCCCCGGGTGAGATGAGTAGATTGGTTACACCGGGACCCCAACGCTCGTGACCTCGCTGCTGTGCCCTCCTCGGCCTTGGATCTGTCGGGGGTCTCTAAGCTAGGCTCGTTGGGACAAGCATCCAAAGGCCTGAGGCTTAGTTGGTGTTTTTCTTCAAAGGATTTTGAGAACAGAGGGCAAAGGGAAAGAAGTGTTGAAGTTTGGTAGGAGTTTAAATAAATGTCTGTGGTTCTGTGATTCAGTGTGACAACCAGAATGAGAGGGCTTATGTGAGATGAGGAGGCTTGATGACTTTCTGACAAATGGAGACATTTAGGGCTGGTGGAATTGCTGGAGGAAAATGATGCATAACAATAGTAAACAGTTTTTCCTCCTGCCTTCCCCACCCCAGCTGAATATTTATAGGCTTATACATTTAGAGCTGGAAATGGTCTTAGAGTCATCTAGTTCAAGGCTTTCACTTTATAGATAAGAAAATGGAGAATGAGAGAAGTTTTGTGATTTGCCCAAGGTCGCACAGATAAGGGGTGGGATTAGAACCAGTGTTTCTGGATTCTAAATCCCAGCCCTGTATGTTTTGGCTATCCCTCACTTCTGTGCAGTTGCTTTAGTTAGTAGGGTGGTAACTGGGCAGTGGACAGAGTGCTGGACTTGGATTCTGATAGACCTGAGTTCAAATCCTGCCTTTCACTAGCTGTGTGACCCTAGACAAAACACTTAACCTCTGTTATATGTAAAATGAAGATTGTAGTAGTACCTACCTCCCAGGGTTGATGTGAAAACTAGATGAGATAACTTCTGTAAAGCACTTTGCAAACCTTAAAGCACTACATAAATGTTAGCTATTATTATTACTATTATTGTTCATCTAGCTTTGACTTTCCTTCTTTAGGCCCAAAGTGGAAAGAATTCATTGACCAAATTAACAAGTTTGTAGAGAGCTACCAGCCATGTCGAAGGGAAAACTGCAGCTGCCACCTTGGGTGAGTTTTCTTTCATGCTGCTTATTGCCTGGCACATTTTGTTCCTTGCCCAAACATTGGTTGTGATGTTTAATGAATCAGTCATACATATGTTCTGAGCTTAATCTCTTTGGAGATTTAGAACCCATAAATGGAGATCAGAATGTCTTTTCAGGCAACTTTTAATAAAGTGCTAGACAAGCCTCAGAAATGAATGTTGTCTTTTCAGTTGGTTTTTACTGTTACTATGGACCTTAGAAATGATCTGTTTCAATCCCCTTATTTTTACAGATATGGGAAACTCAGGCCCAAGGGTTTAAGTCATTTGCCCAAGGTAACATAGCTAGTAAGTGGCAGAACCCATATTTAAATCCAGGTCTTCTAACTCTTAAATCCAAATACTTTGAATCTAGAACTTAATAACTTAGTAGTGGGGATAGGGAACTTCTCAGTATTTAGGCACTTAGCATCCTTTTATCCACTCTTCGGCAAGTATCTTTCGAAAGATTTAAAACAAACGGGAAGACTGTATTATCCTCACCTTTCAGAGAGAGTGTAGAAAATAGTTTTCTTCTGGGTGAGTTATTGTGACTATCTCATTCAGAATTCAGTCTCTTAAAATTTGATGAGAGCTTCGACCAGTGGATTACCCTTTGTTTCTTTCTTTAAAAAAAAAAAAAGATCAGGCATTTAAATATGGAAGAGGTAGATATGGAATCAAAAGGCCTACATTCAAAATGCTGCAGGCTTCCAGTGGGCCAATCACTTCGCTGCCCTCTATCTTAGTTTCCCTGTAGTAAAATCAGGAGTTGGATTAGATGACCTCTAAAGTCCCTTCCAGCTCTAAATCTAAGACTACCATAAGAATGAAGAGAAAAAAGTAGTATTAGGCATCTTTCCTTGCTTTCCTAGAGCTTGTAGTCTAGTTTAATAGACCAGGGTGGAACACAGCAAATAGAAGACAGTATTATATGATAAATAACTAAGTGTTGGATTGCATTTCCGTAGCTCACAGGAGGGAGGGGTAACCTGTGGCTGTGAGAGGCAGAGAAAGGTTTCATGGAGAAGGTGGGACTTCAGCTGAGTCTAGAAGGCTATAGGGTAGAGAAAGGCATTTTAGAATGGGCTATGAGGTTCAGCTTCGGGGTGGGGGGAGGACCATAAATACGTTTGCTTTTTATTTGACTTTAAAGTTATATTTATCATCTAGCAGCCCTTAATTCGGGGGTTCTTACCCTTTTTTTGTTTTATGGACCCCTTGGGTAATACCTCTTCTCAGAATAATGTTTTTAAATGCAGAAAATAAAATACATAATATTATAAAGGAAAACAATTTTTAATGAAATGCAGTTATCAAAATGTATTTCAGAAGTTCACAAAGCCAGAGTTAAGAACCCTTACCTTAATAGAAGAAAAGTTATATGCATACAAAATACAGGCTTTGTGTCCTTTTCCCCTTCCTCAATGCAGTCTCTAATCCTAACTCCAATACTTAGATTCTCAAATGGTTTGTCATCTCAACGTTTCCTCTAACAATCATGATTGCAGCTTATCTGTGCCTGCCCATCTTATGCTGTTCCTGTTCACATGCTCCCAAAAGTTCACCACTGGATCCAACCTGTATGCCAAAGGTCCTTTTTCCACTGGTTACAAGACCAGTGAAATATTTGAGCTGTCCACTTGCCATCCCTACTCATACTGCATGACAGCAAGTGTGAAAAGTGGGAGAAGACAAAGTGGTGTCTTCCCCGTAGTTTATACCCATTGGTGATGTTCATTCTTTTTCAGTGTCATGGAGAAGGATTTGGCCCCCTTCCAAGGAGGCATCTCCAAAGAGGTGATGGCCAATGTGGTTAGCCGGAAATTAGGGACACACTATCAGATCATCAAGAACGAATTGTACAGAGAACACGATTGCATGTTTCCTGCAAGGTAAGAGACACATAGAATATCTACCTTCTGGCATTGATACACATTTTATTATAGTTAAACCCAGTTTCTGTGAACTGTCCTCATGTTTCACTGATTTTATAAATGATAGCTAGCATTTATGTTTACAGAGCATTTCCTTTGACGTATCACTTTATCACATCATGGTGTCTGGCACATAGTAGGTGCTCCATAGATGTTTGTATGAAATGAATAAATCATTTCATCTAGTCCAGGTGACAATTCTGTAACCTAGGTGGTTTAAGTGATTCTTATTTTTCGGGTGAGGAAACAGGCACAGAGAAATTAAATGACTTGTTCCAGGTCATTCAGCCAGGTAGTAAGAGGCAGAGCCAGAGCTAGAACCCAGTTTCAGAATACACAGATCACTCCTTTGGCTGGTTTCCTTTTCCTTCCAATTTATTCTCTATTCTTCCTCACCTTCAGTCCTTCAGCACTCTATGATTTCATTGGTCCACTGATGCACAGTGCAGCTCTTATCACTTAATAGGTCTTCAAAACTTTTTGGTAGTAGAAGAATTCTAGTTTAGGAAGAGCCTCTTTGAACTTAGGTTGGTCCTCACATAACAGACACGTGATTAACCACTGGCCCATGCTCGAAGCCTTTCCAGCTTGGGAGGACCTACCAGAATTTATATTCTCCTGGAATACCCTTCAGGCACTCACTGTCATGTCTACAGCATGATGAGGTGTGAGAAAATTCTCTATCTGCAAGAAATTGTTCTCCTTCCCATGTCAATAACTTGGTTTCTGGGCCCTTTGTTAGGCCTCTGCTTTCAGTAAGGCACAAAGATGAAAAAGCCTTTGCCTTCAAGGCGCTTACACTCTTAATAGGATGGCTGACAGGTACACAAACAAGTGTGATACAGGGTAGATTGTGATAAATGTAAAGGACAGATCAAGAAACCACTTCAGCTGAGTATAAACAGGTTGTACCAGAGCTAGGCCTGGAAGGAAGAGAGACTTCAATAGGTAGGCATGGGAGTGGTCTGCGTAAATGAGTGGAGGTAAGAAGACAGATAATAGTTTAATGTCAGAAAAACAAAATCATGAAAGGGAAATAAAATTGGAAAACTAATTGCAGAATACTATGCAGTGCCTCAAATGCATATCTAAAGATGTTGTATTTCCTCCTACAGACCATAGGGAGCCCCCTTCTGTGGTTTTGAGCAGAATAGAGATGTGGTCAGCCTCTGTTGTAGGAAGCTTATTTTGGCTGTAGTTCGTAAAGGCTCAGGGGAGACATAGAGGCAAGGAGACCAATTAGGAGGCTATTGTAATAGACCAGGTAAAAGGTGGTAAGGGCCTGAACAAGGGCGGTGTCGGTATGAGTGAAAAGAAGAGAGAGAGGGAGAAGGTGACAAATATATAGATAGAATATACAGGACTTGGCAGTTGGTTGGATGTGAGGGAGAAATGAGAATCAAAGATGATGCCATAGGTATTGAGCCTGGTTGATTGAGAAGATAGTGGAGCTGTCCTCAAAAGTAGGGCTATTGGGAGAAGTAGGTTCAGTGGACTCAGGGTTGAGCTACTCAAGGAGATATATGGGTCTTTGCCTATCATTCTGTTTGAGGCATTACCCTGAAGAGAAGCAGATGCCAAGTGTTTCCCTAGCTCCGCTCTTGGCAGTATTATACCATGAAGCTAGATTGTGTCTGTCCCCATTTTTTCCTGAGGTCATCAACAAGTGATGAGCTAGTTTGTAATTCTACCTGTTCCCATCCATATAGAAAATATCTGCGGGGTGTTGACTGACCAGACATGGCAAGCAGGCATCCAGAGGAACTAACAGGAGAGTGTCAGGTTAAAGGAGTGTGTGAAGTACTGAAAAAGAGTAATTGAAGGTTACTATGTGGTGACCTATGGGCATAACTGAAGCTACATTGATTTTCAGCAGCAGGCCTGAGTTGGCATGCCAGCAAATTGGAGGCCAGGGGGCAACTGGGTAGCAGAATAGGTCTTTGAATGGGCCAAGCTTTGATGAGCATCCCCTCAGTTTTTAATCTTGATTGCACTGGTTTTGTTTGTGCAAAAGCTCTTAAATTTAATGTAATCAAAATTATCATTTTACATTTAATAATGCTATCTCTTGTTTGGTCATGAACCTGTAACTCACTTAACTTCTTTAAAAATTTGGATGCTATACCACTTGGTGCATATATATTTCATATTGGTATCACTTCATTGTCTGTGGTACTTTTTTAGCAAGATATAGTTTCCTTCCTCCTCTTTTTTAATTAGATCTGTTTTTGCTTTTGCTTTGCCTGAGATCAAGATTGCTATCCCCGCTTCTTTTTACTTCAACTGAAGTATAATAGATTCTGCTGTAGCCCTTTGACCTTTACTCTGTGTGTGTCTTTCTACTTCAAGTGTGTTTCTTGTAAAAGCATATTGTAGGGTTCTGTTTTTTGATCCATTCTGCTGTCTGCTTCTGTTTTATGGGAGAGTTCATTCCATTCACATTCGCAGTTATCATTACTAACTGTGTATTTCCCTCCATCCCATTTTTCCTCCTCTTTGTCCTCTCCATTCACCCTTTCACTCCTCACCAGTGTTTTGTTCTACCATCTCCACCAATCTGCCCTCCTTTCTGTCAGCACCCCACTGCCCCATCCCCCATCTTTACTTAATCTCTTCCCCTTCCTACTTCCCTGTTGGGTAAGATAAATTTCTATATTCAGATGACTGTGTACATTATTCCCTCTTTGAGCCAGTGCTTAGGAGAGTAAAGTTCAAGCGATGCCCATCTCCCACTCTACTGTAATAGGTTTTTCATGTGAAATAATTTATCCCATTCTACATCTCCCTTCCTTCTGCACCCAGTGTACTCCTCTTTCTCATCCTTTAATTTTTTTGTCATTCCCTCAAATTCACCTTATACCTGTACCCTCTGTCTATGTATGTTATTTCTAGTTGTACTATTAGTGGTACAATTTTTAAGAATTACAAGCATCATCTTCCCATTTAGGGATGTAAACAGTTCAGCTCCATTGAATCCCTTATGTTTTCTTTTCCCTTTTTACCTTTTTAGGCTTCTCTTGGGTCTTGATATTAGAGATCAAATTTTTTTGTTAAATTCTGGTCTTCTCCTTAGGAAAGCTTGAAATCCTTCTATTTCATTGAATAATCATTTTTTCTTTTGAAGTATTCTGCTTAATTTCATCAGGTAGGTGATTCTTGGTTATAGTCCTAGCTCCTTTGCCTTCTGGAATATCATGTTCTGTGACCTTTGATTCTTTAATGCTGCAGCTGCTAAGTCTTGTGTAATCCGATTGTGACTCTCTGATATTTGAATTGTTTCTTTCTGGCCACCTGCAGTATTTTTTCCTTGACCTGATCTGTAATTTGGCTATAATATTTTTTGGAGTTTTTATTTTGGGATCTCTCTCAGGAGGAGATCGGTGGATTCTTTCAATGCCTATTTTGCCCTCTGGTTCCAGGATATCAGGGCAGTTTTCCTTGATAATTTCTTGAGAGATGCTATCCAGGTCCTCCTTTTGATTGTGGCTTTCAGGTAGTCCAATGATTCTGACCAGGCAAAAGATTCTTCAGCAAGGTCCCTGCTCTTATACTAGAAAGTTTTTTATTTGAACTTATGTTTGTAGCAAAGGTAAAGGACAGAGACCCTTTGAAGGGCGGCAAATGAAAAATAGCACGTTCTACAGTGTTTTAACTCTTCTTCTATAATGTAGCTTTTAGGAGTATGTTCATAAGCTTTATGTAACCTTCCTTTCATACACTCTGTTCTGGTATAATGCTAGGTGCATGGTTGGGGATAGGGGACAGATGGGGAAGAGAATGAAAAAACATGTTGAATCTGTCTTCAGAAAGGCAGAGTTATACTGTCACTATTTTTATATGGCCCTTGCTTCCCCAGCATACTACTTTACAAATAATAAGTGCTTAATCAATGGTTATTGAATGACTGGTATAGCCATGTTTTTGAAACTAAGGAATCTCTAAGGAAACCTAAACATGGTACCTTATGATAATATTTATGATAATGTTTGGCTCATAAATTGATTTTAATATTGTCTTTGTATTCAGGTTGCATGTGATGGAAATTGAGGGTGGAAGTGGTCTGTAAAGGCTGTTGAAAGTAGTGTGAAGGATAGAAGAACACCTTGAGAGTTTCATAATTTTGAAGTTAAAATGGTGGAGTTATACTACAGCTTTAAACCAAACTTTTGGGTAAGGTAGAACATGACGACTTAGGTTTCAAATCTAATCATAATAGTAATGATAATTCCCATTCTGTTGGCCTGTTAAGGTTTAGAGTACTTCCCTCATGACAACCCGGTGCAGTACATAGAACAAGTAGTTTCTCCATTTTATAGAAAATTGAGGTTAATTGACTTGCCCAGGGTCACCTAGCTAGTAAAGGTCAGAGTTGGGATATAGAAAGTTTGAGCTAGAAGGAACTGTAGAGATCATCAAATCTAGTCTCTTCATTTTACAAATAAGGAAATCGAGTCCCAGGGAGTGATTTGATGAAGATGAGAGTGAGATGGTAGAAGAACCAGTACTAGAGCCCAGTCCTTGCTGCTGTACCCTGCTGCTTGTGCATCTGTGGATGGCACTTACTGAGGACTCCTTAAAACTGGCAGACTGTGAGAAAACTAACTGGGGAGAAGTGCCAAAGCAGAGCAAAGGATCGGTGTTTGTCCAGGAAGACTTGTAGTAAGGGAACCAGTTGATGAATAATTATTCAGCAACCAGAACAGCTTATCCCCAAGAAGATAATATGCATAATTGTATAAAGTGGAATAGGTGCTGCTTCCTGAACATTAACCTTCTCAGCTGCTGAGTAACATGATCATGTTTCTGCTCTTCCTTGAGAGCCTAATAGGGACCCCACCTGAGTCTTGGGGAAAGTGTTGCTATGGTGAATTTGTGTTATTTATGCTTGGCAGGTGCAGTGGTGTAGAACACTTCATTTTGGAAGTTATTAATCATCTTCCTGACATGGAGATGGTGATCAATGTGCGGGATTATCCTCAGGTTCCTAAGTGGATGGAACCTACCATTCCAGTTTTCTCCTTCAGCAAGGTGAGAAAAAGGAATTCACGGTGCAAGGAGAGCCATCTTATAAAAGCCAATGGGAACATGTACACAAGGCTTATGATGTGCTTTATGATTACTCTCACTGTGATACGGCAAGAAGCGCCATAACTGATTCTTCCATTTTTCTGCCTGCCTGCAGTTTGCAGTATTTACTTGCATGCTCTAGAATGTGAAGTAGAAAGAGAATTTTACCATATAAATAATTGTCACATTTATTGAGTCCCCATAGGTATGGTATATGGTAGGAGCTGAATGGATTGTGTGTGTGTGTGATTGTGGTAAAGAAGGAAGAAAGAATAATTTTTTCCCCCCATTTGCACATGAGAAGTGGGGAAAGTCAAATGTATCCAGTCAGACAGTTTCATCAGAAGTAAACTTAGAAAGTGGGAGAATAGTTAGATCTTCCTGAAAAGAAGTAGGGTAGCATTCCACCTTTTTTTTGGTTATTCAGTCGTGTCTGACTCTTCATGACCCTTAGTGGGGTTTTCTTGGCAAAGACACTGCAGTGGTTTGCCATTTCATTCTCCAGCTCATTTTACAGATGAGGAACTGAGGCAAACAGGGTTACATGACTTGCCCAGGGTCACACAGCTAATAAGTGTCTGAGGCCAGATTTGAACTCACAAAGAGGAGTCTTCCTGACTTCAGGTCTGGTACCCTTATTTACTGTACCACCTAGCTGTCCCTTATTAAGCATCCCACCTTATTCTGCTGTAGGTTAGATTCTGTTTTGTTAATTAGTGAGCAAGTATTTATATTCAGGAGGTGAGAGGGGATACAAAACAAGTATATATAACATAGTTCCCGAACTCAAGGAACTTAAGTGTTGTTGGGAAGACAAGATAAATATGCATGAAGGAATTTAAAGCAAGTGTTCAGAGAAAGAAGATATCATAAATGGAATCTGACAGCCTCTGAGGTCCCTCTTATACTGAGAGTCTACACTGGTGAATATACATTGGTGAATTATTTTCTTGAATAGAAAAACCCAGAAGTTTTATGCTTATCTTTTCCATTAGTAAAACTAATTCCATTAGTAATTTAAATTCATCCATAGCCAGCTTTGCCGTTTTATTTCTAGACATTACAAAGCGGGGAACAAAATTTCTGGAACAAAGAAACTCAAAAAAATGAAGACCTTGTTGGGAAACTTGTGAAAATGACTATAGTTGGGTTCTTGTCACTTCATCCCAAGATCGTTTTAGAGTGATTTTTATGTTTCTGTTGAAGACCTCTGAGTACCATGATATCATGTATCCTGCATGGACATTTTGGGAAGGGGGCCCTGCTGTTTGGCCAATTTATCCTACGGGTCTCGGGCGATGGGATCTCTTAAGAGAAGATCTTGCAAGGTAAGATTTTCAGAGTATATTTTCCCTCTTCTATTTGTTTCCTTTGCAGAACCTATAGCTGAGAAGACAAAAGTGAACAATTTAGAAAGAAGTCATAACAGGAGTCTTAAACCAGGGAGGTTTGTCCAAGGCAGTGTTTACATGGAGCATGACTTGGGCTTTTACCCTGTTTTGCCAGTAAATCAAAATACCAACTTGGTTTATGGGCATTCATTGCACATTTGGCCATATTTTAGAGTAATAATGAAATTTACAGTACTTAGGTTTATCTAACTACTTTTGTTGACTTGTATTTTTAATTTAATACGTTTTGTTTCAACACAGCACACATTCCCCCCAAGCTCCTTATGAAGCTCATTCCATGAAAAGCTCTTGGTTTCTCAGTTGTTAACAGGAGGGATATGACCTTTAACCTTGACAGGGTGGTAGTCACATTGACTGTTAATTGTTTTTGACCAGGATTGTGTTGCCTCTATAAGGCTGACAATTTACATTGTTACAGTCATTGTGCCTGTTGTTCTTTTGGCTCTGCTTTCTTCACATTGTATCACTTCATACCACCCTTGCCATGTTGCTCTGAATTCCTCACTTATCCTTACAGTGCAGTAATAGTTTATTACATTCTCATGCCATATTTCAACTATTCTCAAATTGTTGCTTTTTTTCTGAGAAAGGTAAAAAAGCCACTTTTAAGGTGAAAAACTATAGATATTTTGTGATACAGAAAACAGAGTAGGTTAATGATACTTTTTGGAAACTCAGTAAAGCAAGAATGATTCAATTTATTCATCTGATGACCCTGTATTCAGTTTAGTTCAATAAACATTGTTTAATCAGCTATCGTTTGCTGAGCAATGAAGTGTATGCAGAGTATGAAAGGTACTAGGAGAATATAAAGTATTAAGTAAGACAAGGTCCCTGGCTTCCTGAAATTTATCTTCTAGTGCCTCCTTCCTATGCAACTACAAACATGTTCAAGTCTTTTCAATTCCAAAAAACAAATGAACAAACTCCAAAAAACTTTCCCATGCATTTTTTACCCCTTACAGTTATTATCCAATTTGTCTCCCCTCTTTTCCTGTCTGACCGGCATGTGTATATTTTAGGTCTGCAGAGAAATGGCCGTGGGAAAAGAAAGTATCCAGAGGATACTTCAGAGGATCTAGGTGAGTATGCTTGTTGGTGTCTTAAGAGTTTCCCAAATAATGTCATGAAATAATGCAACTTCAGAGAAGTAAAGAATGCCCAAAGGCATTATACATCCAAGGTAAATTCAAACCCTGTAAGAAATAAACATAAAAACATAGAATGTTAGAACTGGCAGAAAATCTAGAGAATATCTAGTCCAACCCTATCATTTAATGCAGAGGAAACTAAAAAAGGTATCATGTTAGCCCCTGACCACTTGGGCACTTTTATAAAAACTAATTTGAAGCTGATCACTATCAGCTTTCGCCTACAGAGTTTTCATATGCAGAATATGGTCTTTTACAGCTTTGGTTGGTTTTGAAGTATGGGAGGAAAAGGAGATATCCTTATGTGAGAGATGCTCTTACACATAAAATAGACACTTCTCATTTTATTGCAGACATTTCTTAAGATTGTACCCTAATAGAAGAACAAAGTCATCTCCATGAAGTATCTTACCCACCTTCTTTTACGTCATTCTGCCAGTTATTTCACATGCTGTTACCAAGTGAATAGGAAAGGTAGGAAGAATAGTACCTTAAAGATAAATGTCCTGATTTTTCAGTCTTCAGACTACAAGCCATTGAGCTTGATTTTAATTCTAGTCAAAATCATAGAACATATTATTAATGGTTTGTGAGTATTAGCTTGAGAAGCAGTCATGCCTAACTTCATTTTCTTTTATTTTTTGATAGGGATATTACTAGCTATGGAAATGTCATAATTCCTTGGTCTTCAAATTTTTTTTATAGCACACTTCTATCAGTACAAAATTTTTGAAGACTCTCTTCTCTGCTCCTCCCTTCTTCCCCACCCAACGCACATACTTAGGTGACACAGTGAATAGAGCACTGGATCTATAGTCAAGAACACCTGAATTCAATTCTGTCTCAGACAACCATTAGCTGTGTGACCTAGGGCAAGTCACCTAACCCCACTGCCTGCCTCAGTTTCCTGACTTGTAAAATGGGGATAATAATAGCACCTACTTCCCGGGTTGTCTTGAGGACCAAATGAGAATATATATTTGTGAAGCACTTTGCAAACCTTAAAGCACCAATGTAAATGCTAACTATTATTAAGAATGTGTATATATTTACTTATTTACAAAGTATGTTTATTTACTCCCTTACTTTACCACTGCCAAAGATATAGCATACTTGGCTTTTACAAATAATGTACATTATACAATTTATGAAAAAAATATAAATTAAAAAGTTGAGATAAAGATGAAACATTTAATTGCAGAGTTACTAGCGAGCCATTGGCATTTATTGAGTAAGGTAGTGACATCATCAGATCTGTACTTTAAGAAAATCACTGTGTGAGAAAAGTGGAGGATGGATTGACAAGGGGATAGACTTGAGGAAAAGAATATCAGTTAAGAGGCTGTTGTAATACAGTAGTCTGTGCAAGGGGATGTGGACCTAAACTTGGATGATGGCTGTGTAAGTAGATTAACAGGGACTTTTGAGAGTTGGGGAGCTAGAGATAATGAATTTGGGTAACTGATTAGTAGGATGAGAGAAAGTGAGGACTCCAAGAAGACACTGAGGTTGTGAACCTTGGTTTCTGGAAGCATGGTGGTGCTCTGAATAATAACAGTGAAATTTGGAACAGAGGCGGATTGGGTGGAGATAATATAATGAATGAGTATGTAATGCAGATCACAATCTACTTGTTCCTACATATTCCATGAGACCCATTCTGTCCCACCTACAAGGAAAAGAGATGAGATGAGGCTAGAATTCACTAATGATTGCAATGTTTTGTAGAGTCTGCCTTTTGAGAGGTGCTTTACCCACTAGGGGATGTGGGGTTTGGGATTGGGGTGGGGGGAATTTCCTCATTGGTACCTACAAAGATGTGCTGTGAGTACCAGAGTAGCAGTTAGGTTATAACTGCCCCAAGGAGCCAGCACAGACACAGAAGGGGGCAGATTGAGAGTTTGCACAGCACAGAGAGGAGACAGTCAAGAAGTAGATAAGAGTAAGAGGTAGTTGTACTGGAGACAAGCCCCATTATTGGCTTGTGAGGAGCGTGAGATGCAGCTCATCTTTCTGCCTCCGACTGGTTGATCATATACCCCTTGGAGTCAGGCCATGGAACTCATTTTGGAAACCATTGCCATAGATATAGCTTACTTGGATTTTATAAAGCATTTGACAAAGTTTTTCATGCCATCTTTGTATACAAGTTGAGATATATGGACTAGTCAGGGGTGGGAACCTACAGCCTCGAGGCCACATGTGGCCCTATAGGTCCTCAGGTGCAGCCCTGTGACTGAATCCAAACTTCATAGAACAGATCCCCTTAATGAAAGGATTTGTTCTGTAAAACTGGGACTCAGTCAAAAGGCCACACCCCGTACCTAAGGACCTAGAAGGCCACATGTGGCCTCGAAGCCGCAGGTCCCCACCCCTGGACTAGATAATGATAAGGTAGGTTTGAATCTAGTTGAATGATCAGACCCAAAGAATAATCATTATTGGGTGATTGTCAGCATGGGGAAAGTTCTTTCTAGGAGTGAATCCCTCTTTGGTCCTATGTCATTTGACATTTTTTAACCAAGGATTTGGATCAAGGCATAGAAGGCAAACATCAAATTTGCCATTGACACAAAGCCACAAAAGTAAATGAACAAATGGAATGTTAGTCTGGATCCAAAAAGACCCAGATGAACTAGAAGATAGGCCAAATGTTCAGTTGTTTTAGTCATGTCTGACTTAGAACCTCATTTTGGATTTTCTTGGCAAAGATACTAGAGTGGCTTGCCATTTTCTTCTCTAGCTCATTTTACAGATGAGGAAACTGAGGCAAACAGGGTTAAGTGACTTGCCTAGGGACACATAGCTAGTAAGTGTCTGAGGCTGGATTTGAACTCAGATCTTTCTTACTCCAGACCTAGCACTCTATCCACTATACCATCTAGCTGCCTAGGCTGAGTACAAGAAGATGCAATATAATAAGGATAAATTAAAAATTTTACACTTGGATTACAAAATCAATTTCTCAAAAATAGGGTTAAGTAGAGAGAAGCTATGTCTAGGCAACAATTCAAATGAAAGAGATCTGAGGGCCATACTTGAATTTGATGATTCATTGAGTCAACAGATGACCTGGCAACCAAAAAAAGCTAATGTGCTTTTTAGACTAACTGAAGGGAGGCACAGCATCAAAATGAATGAGGCGAAAGTCCCTTCGTACCATGCCATGGACAAACCACTCTGGTAGCATTGTGTTTTGTTCTGGGTGCCGCCTTATAGAAAAGACACTGACAAAACTGGAGCATATCCAGAGGAGGGCAATGAGGTTGGGTTAGGGTGGTTTAGAGATCATGCTATAGGAGCTCTGGTTGAAGGAACTAAGGCTATTTCATCTGGAGATGAGAAGTTGTTCTGTAGTAGATTAGACTTGATCTTTATTGCCCCTAATGGCAGTACTAGGACCAGTGGGTGAGCATTGCAGAGAAGCAGACTTCAGCTCCATGTAAGGAAAAATTTATTTGTAATTAGAGCTATCCAAAAGTGCAATGGGCTGCACTTTTCTATGACTGATCTTGGACAAACACTTGTCAGAGATGTCATAGAGCTGATTCTCCTGTTCAGATATGGTATATTACGTATTTTGTATTCTGAATTCAGTCATATGTAGCAAAGGTACTATACAGATTTTCTTTTGGAAACCACTGAATGTCAGGGCTGAAGGGAGCCTGAAAGATAATTTAATATAATTTCATTATTTTCAGATGAGACAAACTGAGGCTGAGAGATGAAATGTGTCTTGCCCAACTGGTATCTTGTCATTCAGTTAGTGGTAGAAACTAGATTAAAACTGATTCCAAGAAATGAATGTTTCATTCTTTTTATATATCCCCAGTGTCTAGTACACTGCCTGATAGCAGTAGGGACTTAATAAGCACTTGATTGATTGAGAATTTCATATCTGAATAGATGAAGCAACCATGTAGCATTTTTGGAAGTTCAGTGATAATAACATCACTTTTTATCCTCATGTTCAGGACACAAGCAAGGAGGAAAAAGAGGCTTGTTTAGTACTTCCTTGTTTTTAACAACGAATATAAACAGGAACAGTGAGCTTTTTTTTTCCCCTTTGGAAAACATCAGTCAAAGATCAGAAATTAAAAGCAATTTAGATTTTGTTTTGAAGTTTTTTAAGAAATGCCATTAATTAAAATTACCCTTTTTCCTCATCTGGAAAATGGGAATGACCATACTTGCAGTACCTCCCTTGCAGGGTTGTATGAGGCTCAAGATAATAAATGATTATCTTATTAATAATAATAGTTAACATGTATAGCTCTTTAAGGTTTGCAAAGCACTGTGTACATATTATTTGATCCTCACAATAACTCTGTGAAATAGGTACTGTTATCCTCATGTATATACGCTGTTTTAAAATGCTACATAAATGTCATATTATTTTTTATTACTCTCTAGTAGTCATTATGGAGAACTTCAGGAAGGCTTTATATGATCTGTTTCTTTTATAGGACAAGTCCAGAGCGAGATCCCCTAATTCTTCTATCTCGGGAAAACCCAGGACTCGTTGATGCAGAGTACACTAAGAATCAGGCCTGGAAATCTGAGAAAGTAATTATTGGCAGATTTAGCGCAGTGGATGTTGTGCTTTGTATGGAACTCCAAGCTAGATTTTCTTTGAGTGGTGGGGTGAAGATGGAGACCATTTAATATATTAGTAATTGCTAATACAGAGACCATTTTTTGGTTAACACTGCAAGTTAAGTCAGCAGTATTCCTGGAAGCTTTTGTTATGGAATGAAAGTGTGTGTCCTATCTATGCCTTCATTTGTCAAAATGATGTTGATATTGTCTGCCAGGAAAGCTTTTAATTCCTTGGAGAAACAGACACTGGCTAGAATGTGACAGGCAAACAGAATCTTTTGAAACCTGGGAAGACTTATATAAGCCAATGTAGAGTAGAATGAGCACAATCTGCAGAGTACAATAACAATACCATTATAAAGAAAAACAACAACTTTAAAAGACTTAGGAACTCTGATTAATGCAATGACCAGGATTCCAGAGTACCAATGATAAAGCATGCAAATCACCAACAACAGGCACTACAGTTAAAACTATTTTCCTTTTACATGCCACTCTCATTTGGAGGAATAAAAACTCTGCATTCTCAAGGGAAATAATCAGAAGAAAATACAAATATAAGGGAACATATTATTACCAAAATTCAATTGTATTGTAAAGACATACTTATAAAAATTGTTTAGTACTGGTTATAAAACAGAAAAATAGATCAGTGGTACAGATTATATAAGTAAAAAATGGAATTATTTGAAAACATAATATTTGATAAAGCTGGGGATGTAAATCATATAGAAGGGGACTCCCTTTTTAGACAAAAACTACTAGGGAACCAGGGAGGGGAGGGGAGGGCAATTTGTTAGAATTTAGGTTTGGATCAGTATATTATATTGTCACAGTTAGCTTCCAGTGGATTTACAACCTGAATAATGAAATAGATAACTGTAGAGCTCTTTAAGGTTTGCAAAGCACTTTACATACGTTATCTCATTTGATCCTCACAATAACCCTGTGAAGTAGGTACTCATTTGACAGATGAAGCACCTAAAGTTGAAAGAGTTTAAATGAATTGTCCAGGGTCACATAGCTAGTGTACATACCTGAGGTGGGCTTTCAACCCAGGTCTACTTGACGCCAAGTAATGACAGCAAGATGGTGATAGTACTCTATCCAGTATGCCAAGCTTCCAGTTCAATATGATGTGAATATAAAAGGTCACATCATTAAAAAATCAAAGAGAATTAGAGGAGTACCTTTCTCCCCCTAAATTTCTTAGCCAAAATAAAGTTTTAATTACATGAAATTAAAAAGCTTTTGCATGATTAAAACCAACAGAAAGAGTAAAACTAGAACCTGAAAATGGCAGAAACTTCACATCAGATACCACTGATAAAACTTTGATATCCAATCAGTATAGACACAGAGTTGACACAAACAAATAATACCATGAGGGCTATTCTCCAGTACTGTGAGCTAGTTTTCAGAATAATTAGAAACTTTAAATGAACTTTTGAATAGACATTATAAAGCACCACTAATAAAAAATGCAAATTAAAAAAACTTTGAGGTTACAAACCTCCCTTAGACTCAGTTTCCTTATCTGTAAAATGTAGCGGTATAATTTCTGAGGTCCTTTCCAGCTTTACATCTATGATTCCCATGGTGTCAGACCTGTCAGATTAGCAAAGATAGCAAAAATCAGGAACAATCAGTTCTGTGGAGAGACATGTACACTAATTCACTGTTTGTGGGACTGGAAATTAGTTGAACCTTTATGGATATCAACTTGGAATTATGCTTTTTAAAAAAAAGTGACTAAAATGACTATACTCTGTAACCTTGAGATTTTGCTATTGGGCATATATCCCAAAGAAGTCAAAGACAGAAACAAAGCTCTAGTATTTGCCAAAATATTCATAGAAGTTCAATTTGTGATAACAAAGAACCAGAAACAAAATGGGTATCTATAGATTGGGGAATGGCTGAAGAAAAACCTAAGGTATATGAATATAATAGAACATTATTGTACTATCAGAAATTGTGAATATGAATAAGGAAGCTTTAAATGAACTGACAAAAGAAGGATAAAAAATGTGCTTGATGACCATAACAGTGTAAATAAAAGAATATCTAAAAGAAAGATAGACTCTGGGTAAATGAGGAACCTATGATGGTCCTGAAGAACAAATGAAGAAACACCTGTTTATCTTCATGGCATAGAGGAGTTCCTTACTACAAGGATTGGTTCAGTTTGGAGGATCTGGGAGCAGGGGTTGTGGTTTTTTTCTTTTTCAGAAATAATTTTGATGTAAAGATGTAAGGCACCAATGAAATATATTGAGTTTGAAAGGAGGGAAGGGGCGGGGGGAAAGGAAGGGAAAGAGGAAGAGAGAGAAACTGAGAGAATGAAAGTGCGTGCTCATATTGGGATTGTTCATGGAAGCTGTTTGGTGAACTTTTTTTTTTTTGGCAAGGCAGTTGGGGTTAAGTGACTTGCCCAGGGTCACACAGCTAGTGTCAAGTATCTGGTCTTGAACTTGGGTCCTCTTGATTGCAGGGCCAGTGCTCTATCCACTGCACCACCTAGCTGCCCCTGGTGAACTCTTTTTACTTCAAAGTTCTAAAATTTCAAGGCTCACACACTGAGTGGTGATCAGACTTTAGGAATAATCAGATTCCTAAAACTAGTAAGTGAAACAGAATTACTAATTTGTGATGGAAAAAATGCCTGGTAAGATAATCAATACCAGTCATCCACGCCAGAGACCAAATGGTTGTTCGGTAAGCAAAGGGAGTTAGATGTTGTTAAGGCAGTTTATTTAATAGAAGTAGCACTGGGTCTAGTCCAGTGATTCTTACCCTTTTTTGTGTCATTGACTCCTTTAGCAGTCTAGTGCAGCCTATGGGCCCCTTTTCAGAATCATGTTTTTAAATGCATAAAATACAGAGGATTACAAAGGAAACAAATTACATTGAATACAGATGTAACTTCTTTTCCCCAATCCAAACTCACAGACTGCTGCATTTATTTGTGGACTCCAGGTTAAAAATACCTGACCTAGTCAGACAGACTTGGTTTTGATTTCTTTCCCTGTCCCTTGCTAGCATGGGTAAGTAATCTCTTTGCAATTGTGTCTTCATTTGTAAAATGGTGATACTATTACCTACCTTACCTATGTACCTGTCACCTTAACTACCTACCTGCCTTCCAACCTCTCAAAGTTGTCATGAGGAAAGAGCTTTGTAAACCTTAAAGCACTATATATGGATACAGCATATTTTTAAAAAATTACAAATAAGGATTATTTCCATTAAATTAGGGTAACTAGGGAAGTAATGAATTAGCCTCCATTTCAGAAATATTTCATCTAAAGAAATAATACTAGTTATCCAGCATCAGAGCACTCTCTACCACTGAACAGTCTTGGGCAAACAATCATTGGAAAATTTTTATTTTTAGACCATTCCTCTAGACTCTGGGCAAAGCATCACCTTTATGACAGTAATTTTGTAATTAAGTAGATCAATGGTTACATATTATTTCCTTCAGTAGATTATTTCTGCTGCTATATAATTTCATCCATTTTCTATTCATTTTTTGATGTCCTTAAATTATAGCTCTCTGTGCTATGATTACACAGTTGTCTTTGCGAGTCAAGAATTTGAAATAGATCAGTTACTCATGAATTGTCAGTCCATAGCCTTGCAACAGAAATTATTAAAAAATGAATTACGTTGAAATTAATTTTTAAAAATTTCTTTCTAATTTAAAGGATACTCTTGGAAAACCACCTGCTAAGGAAGTCCCACTTGTGGATCACTGCAAGTACAAGTAAGGCTTCAGTTAGACATGTCCATTTATCTCTCTTTTCTCCCAATATTGATTTATGCATTAATTCTTGGTGAGTCAGTTCTAATACTCAAGGCCTGACTGGAATTTAAGAGCAAAATCATAATATTCAGTATAAGATAAAGTTGGTGGAGATCTTTACTGATAACTGTTCTAAAACTCCTTTGGACCATAATTCAAGCAAACATTTGCTTAGACCGTTTTTAAAACTGGGGCCTAGTCATATAGGGAACCAGAGAAAAGGTTGGTTGTGGCCAGAGTTGAAAGCTGATAAAAGGGAATAAGGGAGACTGTAGCAGAATTTAGAAATAGGAGAAGTAGGGAAGAGGAGAAGAAAAACAGGAAAGACATGATCAATGGGAGAAAAGAAGAGATGGACAAAGGAGAAAAAGTTGCCATTTGTGGCTAAATTTAATGTCAATTTTCTCTTTTTCAGATACCTGTTTAATTTTCGGGGTGTAGCTGCAAGTTTCCGGTTCAAACACCTCTTCCTGTGCGGCTCACTAGTCTTCCATGTAGGTGAGGAATGGCAAGAATTCTTCTATGCACAGCTTAAGCCATGGGTTCATTACATCCCAGTCAATACAGACCTCTCCAATGTCAGGTATGGGGCTGCTGTTAGGTCAATTTGCTGCTATTGATTTTACCTCTCCCTTTTATTTCTGAAGGTTCTTTTTTTTTTTAAGAAAGTTTTTTTTTTTGAGTCACAGAGATATACTATTTCACTACTACACTGGTTGGACCCCAGACTAGATTTGGTGTGGGGAAAAATAGGCAGAGACCGCAGAAAGAATGCTGGCTGATTTGTTCAGTTATTCATCAGTCACTTAATATCTACTATGTATATTAAGGGCACTGTAGTAGACGCTAAAGAGGGTTCAAAGATAAATAAGAAATGATCTCTATTCTCAAGGAACTTGCATCCTAGAAGAGCACATTTTAGTCTAGTAGAAATTCATTCAAGCATTGTGAAATAGGCCAGTGCTAATTTCTTAAGAGCAAAAATACACCAATCTGATCTCTTAAATCATCAAAGGGACTTTAAGATGTAGCTTGCAAATTGATGTCTCAAAAGGCCCAAAATAAATTTTTAAAAACCTCTAAGTCATTCCTTCACATGTATATGATACCTTTAGAATTCCATGGGGAAAAAAAATGAGGCTTTTCAAAAGTAAGTTTTGAAAAATTAAAAAGTAAGAGTAGTGATTCCCTGTCATATAAAGGAAGATTCCAAGTGGCCTGAGGCTAATCAGAATTTCAGATATTAGTGATAAATTACCATGATACCCACAGCCCAGTTGAGTATAAAAGAAGAGTTTACCTCAAAACCTGTTGGCCCCTTCTACTAGCCTTCCTTGTTTCTCTTCTTATCTCTCCCATCAGTGTTTCAGTCTTCTCTTTTCAATCCCTCAGCCATACCCCACTTTGCTTTTCCTTTTCTCTGCCTTAATTATAACAGAAAACTACATTATGGTTTTATTTGTTGTATTTATTGAATACTGAATTTTGGTATGTCCTTGTCTTTTATTTCAATATAGGTGAATTGAACATTTTATGTTTGGGGGGGAGGGAGAATATGGCTACCCTAAATTAAGTAGCTTTTAACTTATTCATGGACTTTGATAAATGTTTCCCTATCCTTTCTTTAAGAAGAGTCATATAGGGAACCAGAGAAGAGGTTGTTTGTGGCCAGGATTGAAAGCTACCTAAAGGGAATGAGGGAGACTGTAGCAGAATTTAGAAATAGAAGTAGGGAAGAGGAGAAGAAAAACAGGAAAGATATCATCAATGGGAGAAAAGAAGAGATGGACAAAGGAGAAAAAGTTGCCATTTGTGGCTGAAGAATTTAATGTCAATTTTGGGAATCAACCTGATATCCCACAATCCTAGTGCTATTTTTGACCTTCAGATAATCTGTGATATCCCTGTCTTCCATTAGCGTGAGTAATTTTGTACTGTCCATGTTTGATATAGTCTTATATAGTTGTCTTCATTTTAGGGAACTCCTACAGTTTGTGAAGGAAAATGATGATCTAGCCCAAGAGATTGCTGAGAGGTAAATTTTGTTTCCAAATTTTTTCTTTCTATTTCCCACCCTCCTCCTCCTGCTTTTTCAGCTCCTTTCTGTGTGTTATCTTCCCCAGTTAGGGAGAAAAGGAAGCGTCTTTCTTTTTCCTTGTATTTGTATTCCCAGCACTTAGCACTGTTGGGAACATATAGTAAGTGCTTAGTAAATGCTTTCTAACTTGCCTTGCTTACTACTTCCCTATTATTTCCACTATGCTCTGTATCAAGGGTGCTTAATCTTTTTTGTGTCATGTACCCCTTTGACCGTCTGGTGAAGCCTATGAAATAAGGTTTGTTGCCTACATTTATAATTTAAGGGAAAGCTAAATTTGTTAGAGGCTAGTGAAAATGAAGATGCAATTTTTTTCACGATTTTTTCTTTACGCACAAGTTCGTGGACCCCTTGAAATCTCTCCATAGACCAGGTTAAGAATCCCTGCTCTAGATAAAGATGTCTTAATAGTGTCAAGGGCATGTGATATAAGGGTTCATCCTCATTCAAGGGAGCTGGCTAGCCTGTGGTTTTGGAGCAAAGAAGTCTTTATGTTTCTTAAAAAAAAAAAACTTCTGTTGAGTAATTCAATGGAGGAGTGAAAGTTGCGAGAAGTAATATGTACTGGGGCAGCTAGGTGGCACAGTAGATAGAGTATTGGCTCCTGGAGTCAGGAGGACCTGAGTTCAAATGTGACCTCAGGCACATAACACTTACCAGCTGTGTGAGTCTGGTCAAGTCACTTAACCCCAACTGCCTCACCCCAAAACAAAAAAAAAGTAATGCATACCCTTGTTAAGACCTTTCTTAGAGAAAATAAAGAGCTCTTTCTTTGTCTTAGAATGAAAATTGAAGCCCTCATGCAAAAACAATACAAACAAAATGCATTGGTTCTACCCTTAGCAATCTGTACTTTGCTAGCCCATCTTTGAATCTGCCAGGCTTTAGCCTTTCCTAGATATCAGATTTTTAGAAAATATTTTTTTAAAACTCTTTTCACGATTTCCATTAATGATTGACTGGTCATTGCTATCACTTTTACCTACAGGGGGCGACAATTTATCATCAACCACTTGCAGATGGATGACATTTCCTGTTACTGGAAGATTTTGTTGACTGAATATTCCAAAGCCTTGTCCTACAAAGTGAAGAAAAAGAGAGACTATAGCAAAATTTCTCCCAAACCTTTGAAAACAGAACTTTAAGAACTACTATTATCCTTGTGGTAGAGTGACTTCATTTGGATATCTTTGTGACAAGATGCCGAGTATCTCATTCATTTGAATGAGATTATACTTGCCTGTGGTAATTTGTATGTTATAGACTCTATCTAATACTAACCAAATAACTGGTTTTTCTTATCTTTCTGCAATAAGAGACTCTAGAAAGATCCAGACTCCCAGAGTCACACAATAATAGAACACAGACTTGGAAACCAGATTTGTAGTCAGAGGACCTGGGTTCTAATCCTGCCTCTGTTGGGCAAGTTACTAAGCTTTCTAGGCCTTGGTTTCCTTATTTATAAAATGAAAGGGTTGGACTAGATATCTTTGAAGGTCTCTTCTAGCTCTAGTCTATGATCATATAAGCAGTATTTTTTTTTCTTTAGGTTAAATAGGGACTAAAAATCAGACTGTGAGTTTTTATGTCTGTGTCTTTGGATTAGCTCTACAACCTAGGCCTTGTTTTTCTTATCTAGGTAAGAATCATGCTAGCTATTATATTTGTGATCACTGTGAAATGCAGAATGTCTTTTTGGACCTTTTGGGCACATTATCTAAAGCAAACAAGTTGCCATTTGGAAATATAATAGGTTCTGTCTCTGGAATTCTGCTGTTTCCCGGCTTGATCCTACTAGCTAAGTTTAGCTGATGTATATAAAATATTTAGGGATCATTTACTGAAAGGTCCATAGGAACAGAAAGATATGTCATGTAATTGGTTTGGGTTTTTTTTACTTTTTAAAAAAAATGTAATTTTTTTCTTTACTTGGACAAGATTTTATATTTTTGTCCTGAATGGAACCAGTTCTTAATTATTGCAATTGGACTTCTAATCCTATTCCTCGTTTTCTCACAGCTCATTTTATTGCATTTATTCAATCCATTAACACCCATTTGTTAAGCACTTACTACGTGCCAGCTACTGTGCTAAGCGCTGGGTAGATAAATAAAAAAAAAGCAATCCCTACCTTACAGCAGTTTACAGGACATATATAAATAGTCACATACATATACACAAGATATATACAGAGTAGATGGAAGGTAACTTTAGAGGCAAAGGCTGTGGCAAGAAAAGAAAACATTTGTTCCTTCAAAACAATTTCAAAAATCTACATTTGTACCCTTTTAAAAAAGGTTAGCAGGAGCTACTTATGCAAAATGAACACATCTCTCTTATTTACTGGAACTGACACTAGTAAGGGTTATCATGAGTGTATATTTTGTGGGTAACACCAATAATCCACTTCAATAAATGTTGCCACCTGAGATTTGTAGCACCTCCTACTCTAACTCACTTCTGTATAGCAAAGAATTTATTTCAATGCAAAGTCATGTTGAACTCCCACTCCCCCCCCAAAACTTTTAGATAATAGAGAGATCTCTAAAGAATCCCTCCACAATGTAATGAAGTATGGTAGGAAAAAACTGGGATTAAACCAACAGAGTGTGGTGTCTTGGAACATATTCACAATACCCTCCTCCACTCTCTTTAGTTTAAAAAAAAATACCCAGGGATGACACATGGTAAAATGTTTTCACTGTTTCATGCCAACATTTAGAACAACAAGGTCTTTATTGTATAGGTGTAGGCCTCTGGACCTTTTATCTGTACGGGCAGACTACTGAAGAAGTACTGTCATAAAGACTCACTATAGGACATTTTATTTTCTCTCTTAATCTTATTTTTTCTTTTGTTTTTACATCTTCATTTCCAATCATGTCTCTCCCCACTTTCCTTATATAGCAAGTTATCCTTAGTAACAAAGGAAAAAAAAACAGTTCAGCCAAACTAACTAGCACATCAACCATGTTTCACAGTATTTGTAATGTCCATATTCCTATTTTCCTGCCTCTGCAAAGATGAGAGATAGTTGTATCTTTCAAACTGTATTCTATAATACTGTATAGGGTGTTATCAGTTACAACGTGATCTGGTCTGTGGACTCCGTCCTGCTGAGGCTCCACTGTCATTGTAAAACAGGTGACATGCTTGAACAGATCTTCAGATTTAATCGTCATTGGGGCTTAAGTCTGATCAGTGCCTTACAATTTCAAGTTTGCTCCTATTGTTGAGAATATGATACTTTTATGTGGAAAAGACTAGGAATTAATGTTTTGGTTGTCACTGGGGAAGAAAGCCTTTTATTTTTTTCCTTTTCTGAAGTGCTAATCTTGGTGTTTCAATATGTTTCAACCTTTGGATGATAAGCATTAGATATAATAGCTGATCACCCACTGTTTTCCTAAAAGAAAGGAGAGTCAGTAATGAGTTCCAACATTTTAATACAAGATTTTTATGTCTTTCCCCCTATTCACCTCTTACTCCTTTCCCTCTGGCTGTCTTCCTTTTCCTCTTTGGTTTTTATGATGTTAGCTGGTTTTATAATAACAAAGTGAAATTCAGTTACATTAAATCAGTGACTTTATTCCATTTGCTGAGAACTCTACTCTCTCTAGCATACCAGTCTTTCTTGGAAAGTTCAATTCAGAAGTTCTTCAAAAGACCAATAATGAAACTTGCTTCCAGCTACTTAATGAAGAGGTGATGTACTAATTGTGAAGAGCGTAGCATATTTTTTGGACATTGCAAATGTGGGAATTTATTTTTATTAACTGCACACGTTCATTAAAAGGGATTTTTTTTTTACTGTAGTGGGAGGCTAGGATAGGGAGAGATTTTTATTCTTTGAAAAAAAATTTAACTTTTAAAAAGTTCCTTTTAGAACTTTATTATCCTCTGTGATAGCACAATTAGTGTACAAATGAAGCATACCTATTTAAATCTGAATTAAAAGGTAGCTTTCAGAACATACATAGAAGGTGGCTTTTATTGTGTCTAATTCAGAAAGGAAAATCTGGGTTTCTGAGACTTAATTGTAGTTTTACCTGACTACCTAGTATGTTGTATCCAGCATTATGTGTCTGTCTATATTTGGTATTATATTGAGGTGAAAAGTGAACAAAATTACTCTCCCTTTAAAAGGGAATTGAAGCTTTGTTGACTGTTACCACCATATGTAGCTCTACCAACTTATTCCTTCCCATTCTCCCCTGCCCTGCCTCTTTCCTATCCAAGTTGTGTACAGTCATGTTACCAGTCAGTCCATGTACTGAGCACACTGCCTGACACATAGTAAGTGATAAATGTTTTTTCATACATTCACACTCCTGGGTACACTTGTGTGTACAACAGCTAGTCAGTTTCTAAGGGAAACATAATTTTAATGATCTAAATCAGAAGTTGGCAAACTACAGCAAGAGAATGTGACTACTGCCTTTTTTTATCTTTGAGCTAAGAATGGTTTTTACATTTTAAACTAAAGTTTCATTGTATTTAAAAATTTTAAAACATTCTTAGCTTGAGGAAGCCTGGTCTAAGTAGTAGTTTGATCGCTAACAAGTAGTTGCCAAGGCAGTCAGAGGTCAGAGGATACAGCTTATTACATAATGATAAAATTGTGCAAGCCACCTAAGAACTGAGAGTAACAAAATCAGGTTAGGAAATGTGTTCCAGTAGTACGAGTCAAGCTGGTGATAGAAGATGCTTTTTTATCTTGAACTCTTTAGATAAAAGTCTGACATTTGATAACATAAATTTTGGTTAACAAATACTGTATATAGTGACCAACAAGATGGAGGACTAGATACATTCTCTGACCCGCCAACTTTTCAGACCTCTCCAAAACAGGAATTATGTGCCAAAAATAAACCAACTTCAGCTGTCTCCATAGTCTAGGACAGAAGTGTAAAATAGCAGCTGAAGGAGATTACAAAATTACCCGGTACTACCTGAAGCAGATAAAAATGTAATTGGGAAATGTTTAACAAAGTAAAATACAATACAATATAGATAATGTTAATTTGTGGTTTTCTAAGTCAATACGGAGGGCTTACCTCTTCCATTTGAGTTTGATACCACTGGCCTAGGACTCTGAATCCAAAAGAAGATTAAAAAGAAAAAATAGCTAACAACACCTACCATGAACAAACTCAGCATTCCACCCTGCCACCTCCCACATTATTATTAGCTGACCCAAAGACTTGATATGCCTGTTTCCCTCTTTCTCTTTCCTGTATTATGGAGATCTCATGAAAGCTCATCTGGATAATGCTCCCTCAAGGTACAAGCTTGTTTGGGCCACAGTAGCACCTTGACAGCCAGCTTGGTGTATCAACAGCCAGCACAGAAATTCAGTGGTTTGTGGTGCAAAAGATCTCTGCAGGAACGGGGAAAGGGGCAAGATAAATGTCTAATCTTGAAATAGGGCTCAACAAAACACCTCACCTCACAGAGCTTCAGAAACCCAAACTACACAAATCAATCCAGTAGCCAGCTTAACAATTCTGAACTGTTGGTGCTGAGCCAGAGACCTGAGGAACAGAGGGAGCAGCATAGGACACCTGGATAGAACTGTGTGAGTTGGGGTGAGGGGTGGGGAGAAGTGGCTGAGCAGCACTCCACTAACCCCTTGGGAAAGATCTCAACACCCAGCTGGGACCAGTTCTGTGCACCCAAAGTAATGGGCAGAGACCTAGACTGGTGAACCATGAATTGCCCAACATAAGAGGAAGTTGAGACTTTTGGGGACCTATCCCCCAAGGAAACAACTATCAGAGGGAGGAAGTCAAAAAGGGAGCAGCAGGGGAAAATTGGGCAGGGGGAGACAAATTACCAAAACTCAGGAAAAAGAAAACTCAAAGACCTTGAACTTAAGCAGATAAGTCAACAGGGAAAAACAACAAAATGAAATGTTACCTCCAGCTGTAGTAAACAAGTTCAGCCATCTATGAATGAATTCTATAAAGCAAAGGAAAATGATCCAGCACTTGAGACAGAGGAGCTGTGGAATATGAAGAGAACACTGAATCACAACATTCTGTTTCTGAGTGGTTCAAAGGAGAAATGAAAATTATGAGGGCAGAATAGAAAAACTGGAATCTGAAATCAGAATCAGAAAAAATGAAATCTGAGAAGTCTCATCAAAGAAACAAAAGAAAAC